TCCAATATTAGGTGGGATACGACCCATCCATCCCACCTGGTTCCTCTGCCGATGGATATACTATTTAGGCCCTAATAGCATCCCTATATAGTGTCCAGTTTTTCTAGTTTTTCAGTTTACCTTGTGCCTAGATTTCTAGTAAGTTTTACTTTTGAATACATACTTTTTGTTCAGATTTAAGTTAAAAGATATTATATGAGTAAATTTGAAGTGAATATATGCACTGAAAGTAGCTTACATTAAATATTAAAAAATAAAATTGCCTGAACATGTAATTTCCATCTTTGTATTCTAAATTATCCAAATGAGTTTCCTTCAATTTTGGCATTTACTGGTTAAATGAAATTATCAGTCATCCAGTATAATAGGTTAAATTATACCAACCAATATACTGACCAGGCCCTAATTTACTAGCATCCCTAATTTAGTGTCCATTTTTTCTAGCTTTCCAGTTTTCCTTGTCACCTAGTTTCCAGTAAGTTTTAGTAGTTTCCTGTTTTGACTTTATCAGCTTGTCTTCTCAGTTTCTAATTACAGAGTGTCTGATATTGACCTGGTTTGCCTGTGCTGTGACCCTTGCTATAGACTATGAATTCTTGGAAAAGCCCTAGTAAACAGACTCAGGCATTCTGCTGCCTCAAGTTCCATAAACCCAATGAGAGCCCTTTCCTTCATTCTTACTCTTTTTAAGGTCATTTCATTTTCTTAAATGTCTTGTCAGAACATCTAGTCATGAATAATGCTCTTGTAAATAGAAGCATCAGTAATGAATGCATTTATAAGATGTGTTAATGAGGTCTTCTGTAAATTAGTCATTTGTTGGTTGCAATCTTTCAGTTGAATGTTTGTAACATCTTAATCAAGAAGTATTTACAGTGACTAGATGTAATAAATGATCATATTTTAGTTATAAACATATTCATACAAGTTATGTGTTATGAATACATTTGCATGTCCTATTAATCAGCACAAGTGATAACTCATCGTACAGTGATTAATGGACCACTGTGTTTGAAAGTGTAATATTCAATTGCAGACACCTGTAGTACAGAGGGTACTACTGGTGTCTGCAAGTGATCAGGTCAAGTGAGCCACCTGAAGAAAGCATTCATCAGATTTTATATAAGCTAAGCCCAAGTTCATATAAATTGTTCAGTAGAAATGGCCTAAAGTCATCTGTATGGTCTGTAGCATGGTTTAAAGATGAACTTACAAATGTTTACAAATGACTTAAACGTAATGTGTAAATGATAAAATACATTAAACGATCTTTACTAATGAATTTGCAAGACCAAAACCAAAGTTTTCGTTTTTCATTATCAATATTTCTGTTATTAAATGCTTACAAATGATTTGCAAACAGCTCCCAACAAACAAGCTGTTTAAAATATCTTTATTAATGAATTTGTAAGACCATAACTGAAGTAGAATCGGTTCATCAGCTAAGTGCAGTTTGTGAAATATGATCAATTACTAGTACATTTGGTCATTGTGAATTCAGATGATTGACACCTGACCATGTCACTTAAATACAGAAAGATTACAATCAAAACTCACTACTTAACAAAACACATAATAATTACCTTGCATGGGATCTTATTAACAAATCATATAAATACATTTATGACACTCTAATAAGGTTGCCTACCAATGTTGTCTTACCACTTAATTTAAAGGCTACATACAGACCTCATAACACACACATAAGCATTGAATAACACATTAATAAAGCTAAGCTTGAGTATTACAAACAGCTTATGTCATTAACTACAAGATAACAGGATTATTTTTGAAGTAAATTATAAAGTACTGACATAAAGGGACTTAACCTGAAGTGTATTTGTTTTATTTATAGCACTGTTATAAACCAACATTCTCAAGTAATGGAACTTATGAGGCAGAGGTCTGGTTAAGAGCACTGTACATCAGTTCTGTGTAAAATTTTGATACCTTTAAACATTATAATTTTCAGATATATTTTCCAATATTGTATTCTTAAATATGCCTCTGCCTTATAAGCTTCATTACTCTGGAATGACACTTCTTAAAAGTGTTATGAATGGAACAAGTGTCCATCACCTTGAGGCCCCTTATGTCAATGCAATGTCATTCACTTAAATAAACATGGTAGCACTTCCTATGAATCCTGTATCCATAATGCTTTATTAACGCATTTATAAGGCATTATATGGCATACTTAATATCTTATAATACTGGCATAAGCTTGTCTAATTGCTTATATGTAGTTATAGTGGCATGCATAACACTTTATAAAACAAGAGTATACAAATTTATAATGACAGGTTTCATAATGCATTATAATTCATAAGAACATTATAAATACTGTGAATGTACAACAACACACTATATGAAATTTCTGGTATATTTTCACTGCTTCACAGCATACCTAGGCACACGTCCACGTAAACATTTGTTGGATATAATCACTTTTGTGACATGGTAGGAGAGGTAATGCTTCACTTGAAAGCTGTGTGCATATCACATTTATAACATCTTATAAAAAGAATATAATAATATCTTAAAAAACTCAATTCACTTAAAGCCCTTAATGACACCTTGTTATGGAACCTGACTTTATGAAGTCATATACTCTTACTTTGTAAAACATGTATAAATATGCATGTAATTAGAACTACTTAAGAGCAGCTATATATGCTCATGCCTGTTATTATAAGCCGTTATGTATACTAGGTAACACCTTATAAATGCATTTATAAAGCATTATAAATATGGAATAATAGGGAGTGTTACTCTGTTCGTAAACGTTCAAGTGTTGCTTTACAACAATGTTTTTCAGTACTTATACATGTGCGTATAGTCCGTATATAGGTGGCCTTCAAATAGTGTTACTCAAATGTTCCTTTTTATTAGGGCATTATTAATTACTTGCTAATAGTTAATGCATTATTTAGAATCAGACCTTAAAATAAAGTGTTAGAAGTGCTTCTTATTAAATTGTTTTCTTGTTTCGCTTGCTTTCCGTCTCTTCACATAAGCTGATTTTCTCAGGGCTGCAGTATTGATTATCTGACTCCACAGCTTTGCCCGAATTGAGTGAATCATCTCATATTTGTAAATACCTTGCCATCTGAATTGACGGCAGTCCGAAAACTCTTGTTTATCATGCATGTGTAGGTGTATAGGAATCACCCAGGATAATGAGATCGGTATTACGGTTGCTGTTATGGCTGCTCAACATAAATAAATCATGGAGGACACTGTGTGTGTTGACCTTTCTGTCGGTCATGGATTGGTGCTATAACTCATCAGTGAAGCTCCCTGGACACTGAACCCTTCGGAAGCTGTAGATCACCCTGCACTATAATGTCGCTCTCCGCTTTAAAAGCTGCTGAGTATGTGTCCAGTTCAGTGTCGAGCTCTACTGCAGTTCGCATTCTAATGGCTCAATCAGCGAGAGAGAGAGAGAGAGAGAGAGAGAGAGAGAGAGAGAGAGAGAGAGAGAGAGAGAGAACGTGTGTTGTGTGATTTGTGCCCTCAGTCAGCTGCTTCTGCAGTCTATTCAGTTTCAGCCCACATTGAGTCCACTGTAGAAAGTGTTTGGCTTTATGTGGTCACAGGTTGCAAGTTTAGTGGAACAATTTCTATGGCTCATGGAGAACATGCTCGGACAAGCACACACCCAAGGTACGGACGTCTTCCCCTCGAGCTGGCGTTTAGAGCAGTTCAAGCTTTTAACCCACCAGTTCTTAATATTAGAAATGACATCTGAACAGGTAAAAACTAGTGATGTGCATGTAGGGTTTCCAGGTGCCTGGTTTTGGGCCAGACAGTACAGATTAGAGGTTTGTTGTCTGGTGTCTGGTTAGTATATACTGTATGTAGCAACTGGTCAAATTCTTCACCATCAGTGGTGCTGTTGCTGTTTTAAAAATACTATTTAATACAGTAGTATTCGGATTGAGACACAGGCCTTGTATGCACATAGGCAAAGTTAGGCTGCGCTGTGGCAGTGTGGGATCAACACCATGGGCCAAATTCATAAAACCCACTGCCAGATTTACCGTGATGTTAAAAGCAAACAACATGGTAACACGTTTGGTCACAGTTGAAGGATGAACAGAAACACCTGTGGATTTTTTTTCAGATCTGAAGCAAGACTGGAGATTTTCTCTTCTCTCCCTAAGATGAAAGCTTTTTTTGTGCTGTTTATCCGATGGTGACAGTTTTGGTGGTTTACCAGGTCCTGCATGGTTGTCAGGAATCCCTTTCTCTGTCCAGTTCTGTTGCAGTGTGTGTGTGTGTGTGTGTGTGTGTGTGTCTATGAGTGTGTGTACTTGTGTTTGATTCTAAAATGGTTTGTATGTGTATGAGAGGGTGTGTATGTGGGTGTTTGTGTGCAACACAGAACCAGCACATTACTTTAATACTGAAGGTCACATGGTCACTTTGAGTCCAGAAAATTCCACTTTACGGCGTGTGTGTGTGTGGGTATGAGACATGTAGAAATGGTAAAGGTTACTGTAGTCTGCGTAAGAGTGTGATAAATGAGGTGTGTGTTGTTGGTGCTGAGGCTGTTCGGTTTAGCTTTTAAAGCAGATAATTCATCCTAAAGCTGCCCATACACCTCAACATCCATCACACGGCTATCGATCTGCTCCTGCACGCAGTCTCTCTCTCTCTCTCACACACACACACACACACACACACACACACACACCTGCTCTCTCTCTGTCACTCACAGACCTTCTGTGTCTTTCTGTATAACTGTTAATATTCTATGTGTTAAATGTACGTAGCATATAAAGACATTTTATCATGTGATGTGTCCGTCTGTCTGTCTGTCTGTCTGTACGTTGCATTTTTTAATTTTTTTTTTTTATGTGATGTCTGTTTATCTGTCTGTATGTTGTAGCATATAAAGACATTTTATAATGCAATGTGTTTGTCTGTATGTTACAGGATATAAAGGCTTTTTATAATGTGATTTGTCTGTGTTTCTTTCTGTCTGTAAACTGTAGGATATAAAGGCGTTCTATAACTCGACGTGGCTGAGCCGTTATGGGGAACCTGCAGCAGCAGAGACCCTCACTCTGCTTTGGTCAGTCACAGTGTCCATTTTTGCTATAGGTGGCCTTGTGGGAGCACTCGTGGTTTCATTCCTCATTAAAGTGCTGGGCAGGTAAGAACTCACCTGTCCTACATACAGCTAACACACACATACAGCTGTGCCACACACACACACACACACGTGTACACTGCAGTACAGCTGTCTATTCTGTAAGGGTATGTGGTAGCTGTGCTCTCTCTCTCACACACACCCACACACACACACACACACACACACACACACACACAGATAAGAAAGAACTGTGGTTTAGTGATTCTGGACTCAGTTCTGCTCCTGCGATGTGTGACAGGACCTTTAAATTACCTGTCCACTTCCAGCAGGGTTTAACTCTCTCTCTCTCTCTCTCTCTCTCTCTCTCTCTCTCTCTCTCTCTCTCTCTCTCTCTCTGTATACTCTCTCTCGTTCTCCCTGTCTTTTAGCAGAGTTTCACTTCATCTCGCTCTCACTCACTCGCTCACGCTTTCTAGCTCTCCCTCCCTCTCTGTCTTTGTCTCTCTTTGCTGTCTCTCTCTCTCTCAGTATTTTTAGTGCATCCCCTTTGTCTCTCTCCCTCTTTTTAGCAGAGTTGAACTCCTCTCTGACTCTGTGTATTCTTTCTCTCTCTCTGTTTCTCTCTTTCTCATTGTGTTTATCTTTCCCTCTCTCTCTTTCTCAATATCTCTTTCACTATGTCTCTCCCCTGTGTATACTTTTTCTTTCTCTCTATCTTTTAGCAGAGTTTTACTCCATGTCACTCTCGCTTGCTCACCCTTGCTTGCTAGCTCTCCCTTCCTCTCTATCTCTCTCTCTTTGCCTCTCTCTCAATCTCTTTCACCCGTTGGCCCTCTCTCTCTTTTCAGCAAAGTTGAACTCTTTCTCTCTCAATCTCTCTGTATTCTGTCTCGCCCTGTCTCTCTCTTTCCCTTTCTCTTTCTCTCTCTTTGTCTTTTTCTCCCTTTTCTTTTAACAAGGTTTAACTATTTCCCTCTCTATCGTACAGTATTCCTCTCCATGTATCTTTTTCTTTCTTTCTTTCTTTCTTTCTTTCTTTCTTTCTTTCTTTCTGTATTTTGTCACTCTGTTGCTCTCTTTTGTTGTCTATCCATCCACTCTTTCTTTCTTTCTTTCTTTCTTTCTTTCTTTCTTTCTTTCTTGCTTCTCTGTATTTTGCCACTCTGTCTCTTTTTGTTGTCTATCTATCAGTCACTTTCTCTCTTTCTTTCTCTCTCACTGTCTATCGATCTATCCATTCACTCTTTCTTTCTTTCTTTCTCTCTCTCTCTCCATCTCTGTCTCTCTCTTTCTTTCTCTCTCTGTCCCCCTTCTCTGTGCAGTGTTTAACTCCTTTGATCTGTCCCTTTTTTCTCTCTCTCTTTCTCTCTCTCTCTCTACTCCTCCTTTTGCATCTTTTCTGTTTTTATCTTCTTTACCTCACCCTCCTTTTTCTTATGACTCTAATGATAGTGTTGGAATGAGAGTGTGGGGGGGCTTGGTGGGGATGGGGGGGCTCAGAGATGAAGGATATTTTTAGTGTGTCCCTGCAGAGTGCGACAGGCTGGCAGGGTCCTACTAATGGATGTTCTTCTCTCTCTCTGTGGTACACGAACACACATAGTTATGGTCCATTCATCCTGTAGGCACCTGATACACACATACAAATGTGACTCTCGTTGTGCATTAATCTTTCACTATGTTTACACAATCACACACGTACTAGCAGTGTTGCCCACTGCAGTAGATTAGTTAGTGTTGATGATGCTGGCTTGTGGGTGGTATTGATTTCTCTCATGAACATAAACATCCATCCGTTAGAGGGGTGTGTTTGTTGTTTGTGTCTGTGCTTGTATGTGTATGTGTTTGCTTTGTTCATGCCTGTGTTTTGTCTATGTAGATTACTGTGCAAAAGTTAAAGACCACCCTGCATTATTTAATGATCATTAAGTACAAGTTCGCCTTTTACGAGATATTTCTGAGGAGACAAAACATAAGATAGTCCAGTTGCACAGAGAAGTGGAAAGTCAAAAGAAAAAAAGACAGGACTTTCCAAAAGTGAAATGATTAAAAGATACAGAGAAAATGGAACTGTCGCCATCAGATAAACAGCACTTAAAGCTTTCCTCTTTAAGAGAGAGGAGGAAATCGAGCTGCACTCTCACTTCAGATCTGAAAAAACCCACAGGTCTTTCTGTCTATCCTTCTGCTGTGAGAAGACTAAAAAAAAAGATGTGTAACTTTCAAGAAGCCCTTACTGAGAAAAGGAAAGAAGAAAATTTGCAGATCAAACAAAGAAGCTGCTGGTGTTCTTAGAACAATGGACCACCCCATAGTCCAGACCATTCATTCACTGAATTTGTTTGAGATTATTTGAATCATAAGAAAGAGAAAATGCAAACAACTTCTAAGACCGAACTTTGGAAAAATGTGGAAAAATATCCCTAAAGATTTCTCTGCAAAACTGAAAGCAAGTCTCCTTAAAAGAATGGAAGTTGTAATGGTGGGCACACTAAATAATGAAAATTATAATTATATATATATATATATATATATATATATATATATATATATATATATATATATACTTGTTGAGGTATTTGTGTCATTTTTATTAATTGTTGAATAACTTGTAGCTTTTGGTATTTTGACAGGAAATAAAATACAACCCCAATTCCAGATGCTGTGCAAAATGTAAATAAAAACAAAATTCAGTGATGTGTAAATCATTTAAACCCTATATTTCATTGGACAACAAATCAAATGTTGAAACTGAGAAATGTTTGGAAAAACAAATGCCCATTTTGAATTTGATGCCAATAACACATTCCAAAATAGTTGGGACAGCGGCATGTTTACCACTGTGTTTCATCAACTCTTCTTTTAACAACACTCTGTAAGTGTTTGGGAACTGAGGAGACACTGCTGTAGTTTTGAAAGTGAAATGTTTTCCCATTTTTGCTTAACATAGGATTTCAGCTGCCCAACAGTTCAGGGTCTCCTTTGTCGTATTTTTCATTTTAACATGTACCAAATGTTTTTAGTGGTGTCAGGTCTGAACTGCAGGCAGGTCAGTTTAGCGCCTGGACTCTTTTAATATGGAGCAATGCAGCTGTAATACGTGTAGAATGTGGTTTGACATTGTGCACTAATGCACCCCATACCATCATAAAAATGGCTTTTTCAACTGTGCACTGATAACAAGCTGAGTGGTCTTTAGCCCGGAGGACACAGTGTCCATGATTTCAAAAAAGAATTTCAAATGTTGATTCATCGGACCACAGGACACTTGTCCACTTCCCCTCAGTCCATTTTAAATGAGCTCAGGCCCAGAGAAGGCGGCGGTGTTTCTGGGTCCTGTTTATGTATGGTTTCTTCTTTGCATTTAACAGTTTTAATTAGCTTTTGTGGATGCAGCGACGAACTGTTCTCATAGACAGTGTTTTTCAGTTTTCCACTACAGAATCATGTCTGTTTTTAATGCAGTGCCACCTGAGGGCCCAAAAATCACAGCCAGCAAATACTGGTTTCAGCCTGGTCTCTTGCATACAGAGATTTCTCCAAATTCTCTGAATGTTTTAATGATATTATGTACTGTAGATGATGAAAAGCAAAAGTTCTTTGATATTTAATGTTCAGAAACTTTTTTCTTGAATTGTTGCACTATTTGATCATGCAGTCTTTCACAGAGTGGTGACCCTCTCCTCATTTTTTACTTTTGAAAGACTCAGCCTCTCTGGGATACTCTTTTTATACCCAATCATGTTATTGACCTGTTGCCAATTAACCACCAGGTGTTTTTTTAAGCATTACACAATTTTACCAGCCTTTTGTTGGGCATATATTTTTCAAAAAAACAAAAATAATTCTTAGTTTTAACATTTGATATGTTGTCTTTGAAGCATTTTCAATAAAATGTAGGGTTTAAATGATTTGCACATCATTGCATTTTATTTTATTTACATTTTTTCACAGCGTCTCAACTTTTTTGGAAATGGGGTTGTAAAAATAAGGTGGTTTCTGACTTTTGCACAGTAGTGTATGCTTTTTGTATTGCATGATTTTGTGCATGTGTGTGTGTGTGTGTGTGTGTGTGTGTGTGTTTTATGATGTGTGTGTTTGGTGTGTGTATGGATTTTTACGCAGGGAAGTGGGAGTATTGCTTTTTTCTGCTTTCTAAAGGCAGAGCTACATGAAGAGTCCATTAGGGTAGATGTCCTGCTCTCTTTCACGCTTCGTTCCCTCCACTCTCCTCTTCCTGATGCACACACAAACACACACACACACACACACACACACACACAAGAAGCTTCCATAGTTCCCTCTAAAGGTGGACCATGTTTGTGTTTGGGCCTGTTCTTGCTCTCCAGTATATCAGCTACAGGTTCCATTTGTTGCCAGTTGGCTTTTTAGTCCTTACACACATTTATCTCAGTTGCATGTATTCCAAACACAAAATTGTTAGATCTTTCAGAACAAAAGCAGACAGCGTCTAACAAGTGACAGCAAAATGGACGTTTTCTTTAATCAAGTTAGACGAGATCTAACGAGCGGAGAATACATCAAAGCAGCTCACAAAGCCTCTGTAAGGGTTGCACTTGTGCGCTGTGTCTTTCTTGTGATGAAATCCCAAAAGGCTTCAGAGACATGTTCTCAGCTTTCTCTCTCAATAAAATAACATCACAGAAAACACACACAGACTAGACGTCTCCAGAACTCATTAGTGTGATTTTAATTTAGCTATACATCCACTGGCCACTTTATTAGAAACACCTCCCTTATATCTACACTCATTGATAATTTCTTCATGTCCACCTACCACACAGGTGCACTTAGTAGGTCTACAAAGTATGGACTGTAGACCATCTGTTTCTTTATAATTTGTTAGCCCTCCTTTAACCTTATCAGTAGTCAAGACCCCCACAGAACCACTGATTAGGTATTGAGTGTTTGAGTGGGTGAGTTTCAAATCAACTTGGTGTCACTGCTAGGCTGAGAATAGTATGCCAACCAAAAATATTCAGCTGATAGCATTCTATCCAGAAACTGACCACTGGAGAAGGACTAGAGGACAGAGACGT